CAGGACGAAGTGCTGCTCCTGCTGGATGGGCTTCTGACCTGGCCCTCAGAGACACTGCCGATGCGGGATGCGGCGTGCAGCGGTTCCGGCTTCTCAGAGGATTTCCCTTGCATTCGCTGACGGCACAGGTCCTGCAAGGGGGGATGGCAGGCACCAATGAGCATGAGACCATTCTTCATTACTTATATAAAAGCATGAGCATCAATGTGTTAGACATGCAGATAATTGACTATTTGCTTATTGTGCAGTAGTGAAATAACGAACATTCGTCTTTCTCTCTCTCTCTCTCTCTCTCTCTCTCTCTCTCTCTCTCTCTCTCCGTCCCTCTCTGTCCCTCTCGCGCAAACACGCCAATATATATATATATATTATATATATATATATATATATATATATATATATATATATATATATATACATGTGTCTATGTGTGATGTGTGTCTGTTATGCCCCCCCCCCCCCTCACCCCTTTTTAGGATTGTCTTTCTTTAATTCTTTCATCTTATTGTTTCTTTTTTCCTTCTGGATCGCAACGCCTGACTGCAGATATTTCACTAGGTTTGCAAATATTAAACCATTGCACTGAAACCTAAAGAGGTATATACATAGAGGAAGATAAAAAAAAAACACACACACACACACACACTCAAGTAGAAGGGAGCCAGGAGGTGAAGTTAGAGAGACGTGGAGTGTTACAAATACAAAGGCACCCAGGTTCAAAATTTCTCATAAAACCGCCCCGTCGCGCCACCCCCTCCCCCACCCCTCAGATTTAAAAAACAATACTCTGCAAAAACACATCGGATCACGTGGTTATGTTAGGAGGATGTGAGTAGATCATTTAAAGTATTCTCTGTTTAAAAGATTCCACAACAAAAATTACGTTAATTCTTTGGCTGTTCCTAAAAAACAACCCAGTCGTATATTCTTCCTAATTTTAAAAATACCTGCAACCCAAAACACCTTCATTATCATCGGTTTCACAGATACTCATGACCTAAACATACGTTCAATCTATGTTTCAAAAATTCCCACAGATTAAACAAGCGTTCAGTCTTTGTTCCAAAAATACTCATGGCCTAAACATACCACTTTGTTTCAAGGATACCCATGGCCTAAACATATCACTTTGTTTCAAGGATACCCATGGCCTAAACATACCACTTTGTTTCAAGGATACCCATGGCCTAAACATACCACTTTGTTTCAAGGATACCCATGGCCTAAACATATCTTCCATCTGTGTTTTAAAGATACCCACGATCTAAACATGTGTTCAATCTTTGTTTCAAAGATACTTATAGCCTAAACATACGTTCAATCTGTGTTTCAAAGATACCGACGCCCTAAACTCGTGTTTGTTTCGAAGATACCCACGGTCTAAACTTAGTTTGTATCTTTGTTTTAAAGAAAGACACCCACGGCCCGGCTCTCTAGTGTAGTTGGCTAAACCGGATTGCGCGGAGACCGGGTGACGAACTCCTTGTGGTCTGTGTTCAATCCCGGGGGTAGGCAGAAAAGCCACATTTTCTCCCAGATTTTCGGTATTTACAATGGAATCAAGGCCGAAAGGTTGCGATATCCATGGTACCGAGCCTAAGGGTTAACAACTCATGGCTTCTGGATACTAAAACAAACAAATAAACAAAGACACCCACGATCTAAATATATGTTCAAATCTTGTTTCACGGATATCCGTAGCCTTAACATACCCTTAACATAGCCTTAATCTTTGTTTCAAAGATACCAAAACCTAAACATGCTGTCAAGCTTTATTTCAAAGATCCCTAACCTATATGTACATTCATTCCCTGTTTCAAAGGTGTGTGCGCGCGCGCGTACATTTATTTTATGTTTCTTCAAAGCAGTCACAAACTAAAAGAGTTAATCTGTTTCTGATCTACAGACCACGTGGGTGAATCATCTAAAGTACACTGGTTCTCTCTGTTTAAAGGAAACACAGTCTAAACGTATGCCTGGTGGTTATCTTCATCCTCTACCATCCCACCCCAGACTCCTGTCGCCAACAGAAATCGATACAGCTCCCAAATCGAGCTTGTGTGACAGGAGCAGCCCATTCCGTGTTGCCTTGGACACAACTTTGACACGATATTTTTTCAAAGTGTCCGCTGAAAAGTGAGCGAAGAGAGGAAAATACTTAGGAAAGAGGTTTTTTTGGGGGGGGGGGGGGGGGGGGGGGGGGTGATTATTGATACGTGTCACGGGTGCACGAAGCGTTTCAGGCACTTGTTGAGTTTATTTAGTGCAGGGAATAATTTATAACTTGCTGTAGCACAGGTTGTAGATATTTTCAAATATACGGAACTGGCTAATCAAACAACACTGAACAGACAACAGATTACGAAAACAATCCAATTCCGGGCACGGACAGTTAAACCACCCTGTTTCAAATAGAGGCTATTCTTTGCCACACTACCATTATTTCGTCTAGTCACGAAGGCCATTCCGTCTCTTCGAATTTTATTTGCAGATGTGAAATTACCAACTGCATTAAATCACCAACATTTATATTGTACTTCCAATGTGCTCAATAAAATCACTGCTGAGAGTTTTAATTTTCTAATTAACATATGTTAGTAGTAACTGTTTTGCTTTAGTTGCTGCGGCGATTGCCTATTTGATGGCGGGAGAGAAGTCACTATCGACTAATAAAAGGCACAGAGGAATACATCTACACGAAAGGAGAAGGGGTTGTAGTTAGTCTTGTTACAAATTTATTTTGGTGGATGGCGTTCGGTCTCCTCTTAAAATTTTGTGTAAGGGTCTCAGGGCCCCGAGTTTATGGGCCTATGTTTGCAAACTATACGAGTCTGTGTTACGTCCGGGCATTTTAGATGACATCCTGTTTCCGGATTTGCAATGGAGTTAATCAGGTAGTATCCCATCTGCATTCGGAATTAGGCAAAACCGGAAATCAGAGATAACGGAGAGGACTGCGTGTTTGTTCACTGAAGTCTGTCACTGTTTCCAGAGTCAGGTGACATTGGTCATGTAAGTAGTTCTGAAGACATCTGTCTATTTCAGTAAATTGTCTGTTTTCTCTATCCACTATCGGAACAGTTTTAAAACCACACTTGTTTCTTGCGCGATTCCGGGCATTGTGGGGAACTAAAGTTGCTGTCGATGCCTTAGATGTGCTAATGCATACCACTGTCGTTTAAAAAAGTAAATGATGGTGTCGATACATGTGCTTCTTGGTATTCCTCATACTGTAACATGTTCTTTAATGATTAAAAAAAAAAAAAAATACTCGCTAATGTAAATGGTGAAAGAGTAGAAGAAGAAGAAAATCTTCAAGATTGCGTTTCACATTTGGCATTTCTTTTTATCTGGTGATCTTTAAGAGTGGGTTTAACATATAGCATTTATTTTACCTGCTAATCTTTCAGAGTGGGTTCAGCGAAGGATAATCGTTTACCTGGCAATCTTTAAGAGTGGGTGTCACATCTGACATTTCTTTTCACCTGGTGATCTTTAAGAGTGGGTTTAACACATAGCATTTATTTTACCTGCTAATCTTTCAGAGTGGGTTCAGCGAAGGATATTTTGTTACCTGGTAATCTTTTGAGGCCTCGTTGCCATCGCCATTAGTGGCCAGCTGGGCCAGCTTTCCTCTTGGATCTGTTGTGTCTCTTGCACAGGTAGACGCCGACTACTGCCAGCACCACCCCGGCGATCGTGCTCACTAGGACAAAGGTCAGCACCACGTAACGGTTTCCTGCTTTACTTCCACACGGTTTCCCTGGAATCAGACAAATAAATGATGCTTAGAGAAAAACAGTTGCCTCTAGAAATATGGTGTGTCCTTTAGAAAAAAGAAACAGTGGAGTCTAGAGAAATGGCATATTATATGGTGAAAAACAGCGGAGTCTAGAGAAATGGCATGTCATTTGGTGAAAAACAGCGGAGTCTAAAGAAATGGTATGTCATATGGGGAAAAACAGCGGAGTCTAGAGAAATGGTATGTCATATGGGGAAAAACAGCGGAGTCTAGAGAAATGGTATGTCATATGGGGAAAAACAGCGGAGTCTAAAGAAATGGTATGTCATATGGGGAAAAACAGCGGAGTCTAAAGAAATGGTATGTCATATAGGGAAAAACAGCGGAGTCTAGAGAAATGGAATGTCATATGGTGAAAAACAGCTGTCTAGAGAAATGGTATGTCATATGGGGAAAACAGCGGAGTCTAGAGAATGGTATGTCATATGGTGAAAAAATAAAACATCTGTCTAGAGAGAACCTATGCTGAAAAACAGCGGAATCTAGAGAAATGGTATGCAACTTGGAAAAAACAGTGGCGTATAGAAACACGGTGTATCATTCAGTCTAGAGAAATGACATGCCATTTAGAGATAGACAGTTAATTCTATAAAATCAGCATATCATTTAAAGAAAAACAGCTTAAAAAAATGGGAAGTTCTTTCCTCGCAGAGAAAACAGTTAGATCTAGCAACATTGAATGACATTTGGAAAAAAAAAACAGGGCCTCTAGAAAAATTGCATTTCATTTAGAAACTAGAAAAATGGCATGTCATATAGAGAAAAACAGGGCCTCTAGAAAAATGGCATGCCATTTAGAGAAAGAGAGAGAGAAAGAGGGAGATAGAGATAGAGAGAGATAGAGAGAGATAGAGAGAGATAGAGAAAGAGAGATAGATAGAGATAGATAGATAGATAGATAGATAGACAGACAGACAGAGAGACAGACAGACAGACAGACAGACAGACAGACAGAGACAGACAGACATAGATACAGATAGACAGATAGACAGATAGACAGATAGATAGATAGATAGATAGAGATAGAGAGAGAGAGAGAGAGAGAGAGAGAGAGAGAGAGAGAGAGAGAGAGAGAGAGAGAGAGAGAGAGAGAGAGAGAGACAGACAGACAGACAGAGTGAAACATTCTAGACAAATGGCATGCCATTTACAGAGAAAAACAGTTGAGTCTAGAAAAAAAAAATTTGCCTGCTATTTAGAAAACACAGTAGCGTCTAAAAAATATCATTCTGTTCAGAGTGGGAAAAAACACAAAATGAGTAGTTGTTAGAGAAGGCCATGAACTTTAGATAATAACTGTTACTTTATGGG